GTTGGACTCTAACATTTCTAGAACAAAATTTTAATGTTATCTTAATGAAACCCACTAGCACAAATCAACTTTTTTTTTAAATTATATTGTTACTTGAGGACAAATAATATATAAGTTTGGGGGAATTGACAAACTTAAAAATTACATACTTTTTTATATAAAATTTATGTTTATTTTTAATGATATTGCATTTTAAAGGAATGCATTTTGTATGTTTTTGGTTCTAAGTACAAGAAATGAAGTTTTGAAGAAAATGAAGCATAAATGACGCAATTTTGAGTCAAACCGAGTAAGAAAGAAAATTTTGATATTGTGCATTTTTATATGTATTTATATGCTTAATTTCCTTTATATTTATCACATGTTTTTTAATGAAATTGCACTTTAAAGAAATATTATTTTCATTATTATTTTCATGAAATATTATTTTCATGTTTATCTTGTAGGTATAACACTTGAAACGGATTGGAGCTGAAATTGGGTGAAACAGGGGTGCTGCCAGCAGGGTGGCACCTAGGAACCAGTCTCACCCAATTCTAGCGCCATGACGCCACATCCTGACACCTAGGCACCAGAAACGGTTGTGGAGGATTCTAGACGCCTCAAGGAGTTTATAAGACACCTTTTGGGACTTGGGAAGACACCTTTTGGCATTTGAAACTCTCGAATCTCCAAGAACGTCCATAAGTCGTAGATCGGAGTAGGAGATGTAGATTTCTATATTTTCTGGAGCGATTGATGAGGGATTTTGAGAGATATCTGTAAGGAATTGTAGGAGCTTTGCGTGGATCAGTAAGAGACTTTGTTGGAGGGATTTTCATCTTTTTTTCAGAAAAAAAAAACTAAGTATTGTATTCTTTATTATTTTATAATTATTGTAAACATATCTCTAGTAAATCTGTTTTGATTTAAATGAAGTTTACTGTTGTGTTTTCTCTTTAGTTGGTAGTTTTCCTTACTCTTTCTCCTTGTGATGAGATTTAATCATGTTTAGGATTAGAATTGTTTTAGATTTTTCTTATTTCATACTTGTGATGATTCATTACTTCATTCTTCATTTACATCTTCAATCATGCCAATTGAAATGTTAAAATTTGTTGTGAATTCATAATGACTCGGGAGGGCTATGTATTCCTCAACTAGTAAGAATCACATTAATTCCATGAGTGAGAAGAAAATCCATAGGTTGGTGCAAATAGATAGAGAGATAAGTTTTGATGGGCGTAAAATTAGTGATTCTAGGGTGATATGCTAGAACTTTAACCAATTTGATCTTTAGTTCAAAACTTGAGGTCTAGTTAGTCCTACAAAGAGGGCACAGTGGGTAATCTGGAAGTGACATGCTAGAACCTATCCAACATAACCATATCAATTAGGACTTAACTTTAGGTTAGCCAATGCTCTTTATGCACTTGAGAGAGGGTAAAGAATATGTATGCTCCTATTTAACACAAAACTACATTTTATATTTTAAACATTTGATTCCTACGTTGATTATGATTTCATTAGAAGGGAAAAATGATTTTTGATTATATAAGAACTTTTCAAAATTTAACCATTCTCCTTATATTATATTTTAATTTAATTTAATTAACTTTAATTTTATAGTAAATTAGTGTATTTAAGAAAATCAAACTTTTCAAAAATTTCAAACTAAGACCTGATAGTAGTAGACTAGAACTTAGCCTAAGAGATTTCTTACATCGCTTCTCTGTGGAATTGATGCTGGATTTGTAAAGAAAATCTTATATTACTTGAAACGATACATATATTGGCGTAGAACCCCTAGTGTGTGAAATATAAATCAAATTCTAAATTCTATAATATATATATTTTGCACACTAGCTACCTAAAAAAATCGGGTCAAGTTTTTTGCCAGGAAACTAAAATAACTGCGTAATTGTTGGTCGGGTCATTGTGTGACTAAGGTTATCAAAATGACTCGCTGTTCGCAAATAGCTCGTGTTCAACTCGTTAAGCAAAAGTGTTGAACACAAACATTTTGTTTGAGCTCGATATATAAACGAGCCGAACACGAACATTGATATTTTTTAATAAACTGAACACGAACAAAGCTTAGGCTCGCTTAAGCTCGGCTTGTTTACACGCCTAATGACAAATGAGCTTCTTAAATATTACAGAAGGACTAATATACTATAAACGACATGATTATAGTTAAGTTTCACAAAAAAAAAAAAAAATCAGATATTGAGAGACGATGGATGAACAACTCTTATTGAAGATGTTAACTTATTATGTTTAAATAGTAATATATTTATTCTAAACATGATTAATGTATTTGTAATGTGTGACATGTCAAGAATGAATGCTAAATAAACTATGACCTTATTTCATTTATTAAATATAGTTATGATAGATAAAAAAATCAAGATCTTAAATTGTAGATTCAATAACGTAAATACTAAATACTAAATTACTTCTGTGTATAATATATGTGTGCAATCATATAGAAGATGTTTGGATGAACAATTGTCCAATTACATATATTGAAAATGACATATTTAATGGTGTTGATAAAGAATTAATTATGCAACAATTTCAACATGAAAAAACTTGACTAGAGAAATTATAGATAACTCTTTTAATTTTTTTTATCATATATTTATCAATTTTTAGCATATTTTTATAATTTTTTAACATAGTTGGCTATGTGAATTCTTTTTATCAATTTTTAACAACAACGACAAGTCTTTATCCACTAGGTGGAGTCGGCTATGTGAATTCTTTTTCTCCATTGTGTCCCGTTGAGTGTATATTTTCTCTTAGTTCTAACAGGTTAAGATGATTTTTTATACAATATGCCCAAGTCTTTTTAGGTTTACCTCAACCATTCTTAACACAAGTGAAATCTAAAACATCTATTTTCTTAATAGGATCATTAGATGGTTGATATTTAATGTGATCAAACCATTTAAGATGACTCTCTATAATCTTGTCTGTCATTGGAGCTACACCAACCCTATCACGAATATATTCATTTCACATTTTGTCTCTAAGTGTCAAGCTACTCATCCACCTAAGCATTCTCATCTTAGCAACACTTAACTTTGTTATATGCTTCTCTTTTAAAGGCCAACATTCCGCGTCATAGAGCATTGCAGGTTCACCACCATCTTATAAAATTTTCTTTTCAGTATGAGCGATATTTTTCTATCACACAATATGCCTAATGCATTCCTCCACTTCAACAAACCAACTTGAATTCTACTAATAACATCCCCATGTATATCAACATCACTTTGAACAATATACCCAATATATGTAAAACAATCACACATTTTCATGATTTGATCAGCCATAGTTACAAGTCTGACACTAGAGCTACTACTATTAAAATTACATTTCATGTATTTAGTTTTAGATCTACTCATAAGAAGGCCTTTAGAATCCAATATAGACCTCCATAATTTAAGTTTTCCATGAACTCTCTCTCTAGTCTTATCCACAAGAAGAATATCATTAGCAAAAGCATACACCAAGGTACATCCTTCTATAAATGTTTAGTAAGAGTATCCATAACTAAGACAAAAAAATATGGGTTTAAAGCGGATCTCTGATGCAATCAAACCAAAATAGGAAAATACTTGGTCAACCCTCCTTCAGGTTGAACATTGGTAACAACTCTAAAATACATATCCTTAATGGCTTGAATATAAGTTATTTCAACACCTTTCTTCTCTAGAACTCTCTAAAGACTTCTCTTGGACCTTTATCATAAGCTTTTCCGAAATCAATAAAAATCATATGTATATCTTACTTATTCTTTCTGTACTTTTCCATCAAACCTCTCAATAAATGTATAGCTTCCATAATAAACATGCCCGACATAAATCCAAATCGATTAAGAGAAATCTAAATCCATGTATCATGTCCTAAACTATATTCAATTACCCTCTAACAAAATTTTAGAGCATGACGAATCAACTTAATTCTTCTATAATTTGTACTCTTGTGCATCCGTTTTATTATTAAAACTGGGGACCAAAATATTCTTCCTCCACTCAGATACCTATTTAGTTTTTAAAATAATATCAAGGAATTTAGTAAGCCAAGAAACTTTCAAATATCCTAAATATTTCTACACTTCAATTGGGGTATCATCAGGTTCTACTGATATTCCACCGTTGATTTTCTTTAAAGCCTCAACTTTTTTTTTACTAATACGACGGTAAAAATTAACGATATTAAGATCTTTAAAGTCAATCATATTTTTAGAAATTTCATTGAAAAATTTATCTAAATAGCTTATCCACCTATGTTGAATAACTTCCCCTAACAAAAACATCTTTTTTATCTTTAATACACTTTACTTGAACTAAATATTTACTTTTTTTAGGTAGTTTATACTTTTTTTTTGCACCATCTTTAGTATTTAATTTATTATAAAGACCACTAAAAGTAGAATTTTTAAAGTCACAAATTGTTACCATAGATTTCCTACGGGTCATCTTATATTTTTCTCATCTCTCTAAGCATTTAAATTTAAAGAAATTTTTATGACACAACCTCTTATATGTTATCTTTTATTACACATTATTATTCCCCTGTCTCCTATTTTTTTAATAAAAACTTTTCCTTCTTCATTCTTCAAGTACAATTTTTGTCACTTGATAATGTTTATCACTTTATTCAGGCGTCACTGTAGCGATCCTTACACCCTTTTCACTGTATTCAAGTCCATCAACACGTTGCTTCCAGGAGACATCCTAACGTGGACATAACTAACGATTGGTATGATTATTTTTAAAATTCCTACATAAAATTAGCTTAAATTATTTATTACTAATTTTATTTTGACATAATTAAAATATGCAATTTAATTATTTTTTATCTATTATAAGCATTTTAAAATAAATTTAATAATTTTAAGTTTAAACAAATTTTAGACACCAAATTTGATTCAATTATTTTCCGATTAAATCAAAAAAGTATTAGGTTCGGAATCCAGACATAAGTTACGGCCAGATAACGGTTATGATACATCGAATTTTTTCTCCAGTCTTTCTTCAGACACTTCCTCCCTCCTTCACTGGTGTATGGAAGCCGAGCGCCGCGAAAACTTGTAATTGCTGCGTTACTGATGGAGAGCTTTCGCCCTCAGAGATCCGTCGGCTCTGATCGCTTCCTCGCTCCCTTCTACCCGCAGAACGCCGGGGATGTCGTCGGCGTCGAGCTCGACGAGGATGAGCTCTTCTCTACAGGAATCGAGTCGCCGGAGCCGGAATATCCCCCTCGCCTCCAACCCTCCCCGACGAACCTTAATTCTAACCATAGTAGAAGCCCGATTTTCCTCTCGCGAAGCACGAGGGACGGATTCCAGGAGAGGAATTTCGGCATCCTGGCAGCCCTTCCTGAAGAAGAAACGAAGATCCATCTTGTTCAACGAAAGCCTTCAATCTCCCTCTCTTCCTCGCCTTCCACTTCCCCTTCTCCATCGTCGTCCTCCGCTAGGCTGATTCCGTCTATACCAACTCCCAGATCGGATTTCTCGCTATCCGTTTTGGGAGGGAAGATCTACCACCAATCGGCGCCGGTGAACGTTCCCGTCGCTCCGCAGCGGTTGAGGAAAGCAGCGGTTAATCTGAACAAGGGAGAAAGAGTTGCTGATGCCGTTGATGATGACGATGATGATGAGATGCTTCCGCCTCATGAGATCGTGGCCAGGGCATCTGGAAGGATATCGCCACTGACGACCTTCTCTGTTCTGGAAGGCGCAGGGAGGACTCTCAAGGGCAGAGATCTGCGCCGGGTACGTAATGCTGTCTGGCGAGAGACTGGTTTCCTTGATTGATTGTTGAAGTGACAATGCTTTCTGAAATGAAATCTGAATCTTTTTGGTTTTCATATGAATTATTATGTTTTAAGTAAAAGTAGAATTTAGGGATTTTAGATGTCTGATTCAAATAAATGAATATTTTTGTCTCTTTCAGAATGATGATTGGTTCATTGTAGGATTTAGTTAATTCTACAAATTCAGATTTAGTGATTCTTAATATATTTTTATCATAACATGCCACTTAATTCCTAGTATTTACATATGTAATAGATAAAGTTTACTTTTTTATATTTATAACATCCAAAATATTTATTTCACATTAAAAAATATAACACATCTTCTCATTTACTAATAAGATGGATGACATATATATATAAAAATTGAGTTTTAGATAGTAGATAAGTGAATTATAAAAAAAGGAGGGGTATGCGCGTAAATCTATCCATAGTTAATTGAAAAAGTCATGTATTGTATCTTGTTGTTGATGTTGTGAATTGAGAAAATATTGTATGCGTGTATGTGCTTTTTCTTGCCGGATCAAATAACTCTTCCTATAAATCATCACAATTAATTCATCAACTTTATATTATTTTTTTGTTTGTGTGAGAATTTTGATTTTTTTTTTTTGATAAGATAATTTATAATTTTAGCACAAAGTTAGTATCTGAGTTATAGTTGATTCATTTGATCAAAATTCTTGATGGTCGAAATCAAATTCTAATATCATCAAGTGTGCAATCAAAAACAGCTATGTAATCCAACAGGAATAGGAACTTACTTAAATGGGTCTTTCTCTCGATCCATGCTTGCTGAGAAAATGAGCCGAGTACGAGTGGTCAAGTATGAATGACCAAATGTGATGGGTGAAGTGTAATCAGTCGAGTGCAACTATAGAATGTGTGAACGCCATGTTTTATGACTAACAACCTATTAACTTTTGAGGGGAAATCTAATAAAAAATCTTAATTTTAATGATGATGTGACAAAAAAAGCTACTAGTTTTTTCTAAAAAAAATCTTAGGCATCATCATAACCTATACTTATTTTTATGATGAAACTGCCCTCCATAAAAGAGGGCCGATTGAATAAAAAAGATGTATTTATATGTCTTTCTTATTATTTTGATTTGACTTATTTTTTCTGCTTCATTGCATGCATGTATGTCTGCATGTCTATATATTTTCCTTGTTTATTTATGTGGTTTGTCCATGATTCCACGAAAATATTATCTAGGTTCATTAAGGACCCTAAAATTGTAAGTTTTCTACAAAATCCTAATAAAATGTTCAAGATAATGAATTTTCAGGATTAAAACATTCAGAACTTTAAAACTGCACTTTTATTTACTGCATGACCTTCAAGCCATATTTTAAAATGGGTTGCATGCATGGCTATCACCCAAGTCATATAATAGGGCCTTCACAATTCTTAAGAATCATTCTAAATGCATTCATATTTGCATGTCCTGAGGAGAAATCTCCATGCTTCTCCAACCCGACTAACCCAGCATACCTTTTTACATAAGTGATTTTCTAATGTGCCTTGGGTGTTAGAAGGCTCCTTAACCTAGACCAGATATAAGTTCTTTTGTTTGGAGTGTTTCCCTCTTTGTACCAGAGCCTTCACTTTTCTCCTTTTCTCAGGCATTCTCGCTACTTCGGTAAGTGTGAGTCCCACCCCTTGGAGCTCCAACTTATAGTCACAAGATAAAGTTTCATTCCTTTGACCTTAGGGCTACTGAGGTCCTCGTGGACGACACAATTCACGGATTGCTAATCGGGGATCTCAGGACTTGTTGGGTCGATTACCTTTATGGCCGGGTAGACTTAGGGTTCTAGTGATTGTGTATGATGGGTTATTGGTACTCCGACCCAGCTACCTATATCTTCTAAGATTACTCTATCTTTCTGTTGTTGAGCTCCTTTGAGCCCTGTTGCTTCTTTGACTTCGTCAATGTCATCTCGATGGCCCGATGCCGATGAGCTGCAGCCCATTTGAGATATGACGATTTCTCCTCTGCCCTTATGGTACGGACTTGCTTTGACGCGTTGAGATATCCCTATCAAGATTATTTAGGTTATTTTGTGGGCCCCGTGTGTCGACGAGCCGCTACCAATTTGGGATGTGAGAGATTCACTCTCTACCCGATATCTTAGCGTGAGCTTTGAAGCATCGAGACTTTCCCACACTGAATAACCTTCCTTTGATGACTATTGCCCCAAGTTCATGATAATATAAAGCGAAACCTCTTTTATTGAGAGTATTATTTGGTATCCCTTAAGATGTAATTAACTAGTAAGAGCATGTCATCTGAGAGTGCTCTTGACCCCATAACAGACACCTACACTTGAATATTTGGTTATAGGTAGTCTACGAAGGAATCCTTTCGCGGATATCATTCCAAGGTGTTTTCGCCCGATCTTGTGTAGGTGAACATGCTTGACCTAACTTTGCGGGGTTTATCGCTCATATGCTCTCCACATTTTATTTTTTCTCTTATCTTTCATCTTCGTCGTATGTCCATCTTTTCTGATTCCTCTCTTCTCCAGGTCATTCATATGACTCAAAAGGGAGACTTATTCGGGAAAGAGAAGTATACAACGATCGACAAGCTAACGGCTCCTTCAAAAATAAAAGAGAGAAAAACAAACAAAAACATGACCATTTTTCGATCCAGAATTTATGAAATACTTTACGTGACTGAAATATGGTCACATAACCTCAAAATGAAGTATTATTATTGGTTATTCATCGACAAAATTAGTGTTAATGGTCGTCCTAAACTGTGGTGCGGGTAGGGTGTTTCGAACCCTAATTTTCCCTTAGCGTGCATATGTGAACTCCATGACTTGCTATGATCGTAGGAGGTTCCAAGTAGATGTGTGGTGACCTCTAATAATCAAATTAGGCACCAACCACACTCACATCTCGGAGGGGCCTCCTAGAGAGAAATTCTCGGAGTAGGGCTGCATCGCCACCGAACCCAGCCACTTGCCTCTAACAAATCTAGAAGTTCCTGGGTGGGTGTCTGAGGTATCAGATGCTACAGACTTACCGTAGACCTCCCTAAGCTATGTATGTGGACACTCTGAACTTGTGACACCTAATAATTGATGCCAACAACATCATATGATCGATCTAACTGAAGTTATGGATGTAGAAATTGAGAAGGTTATAAGTTAGGTGGATCCATATATTCAGTTCTTTGAGACTGGGAAACTTGCTACAGAAGTAAAAGATCATAGGAGATTCAGGATTAAGGTTACACATCACTTTATTCTAAATGGGAAAGTCTTCCAAAGTTCCATGACATCACTCTACTTGAGATGCATACGTGAGGACACAATTGTAGAAATTCATAGAGACGTTCATTCAGAAGAATGTGAAAGTCACTATGGAGGAATGAATTTAGAAAATTAGATACTCAGATAAGGCTATTCCTAACCAACTCTTAGGAAAGAGTTGAAGAGTTCTCAAGGGGATGTGAATAATGCAAAAGTTAAGCCCCATGCAACTCAAACCATCCCATAATCTACAACCAATCTTGAGTCTATAGCCATTCATCGTTTAGGAACTAGATCTCCTTGGACCATTCAACCAATCTAAAGGACTTTAAATTTACATTGGTAGTTATCAACTACTCCAAGTAGATAGAAGCTAAAGCACTAGCCAAAACTATTGTCAAAATCAACTGCAATTTCATCTTGACTAATCCCACTTATCGATATGGCTTGCCTATGGTTATCATCACTAACAACGAGACACATTTTGAAGATCAGAAAGTCAAAGACTTGTGCCAAAGTCAATGGATTAACCTGAATTTTGCATCGATTCCCCATCCAATGACGAATTGACAAGTTGAAGCGATAAAATAGTTAAATCTGAACCTACTAAGAAAGAAAGTCGAAGGAGCAAGAGAAAAGTAACCTGAACACCTTTTATTCATCCTGTGGACACTAAGAACAATGATGGGCAAATTCCTTTCATACTTTCACACTAAGGCGAAGTAATGTTGTTGGCTGGATACAACCGGCACAACCAAAAAGTCACTACAACATCTGAGTTTGAAAAAGTAGAATTTGAAGAATGGTATACTATTAATGAGGAAGGCATGCAAGCTACACTCGACCTACTAGAGGAGGCACAAATTCAATGTGCCATAAGGCTAGAGGAGATCAAAAGTTGAACCCCCAATTACTGGGAATGACTCTAAGAAAGTAAGATCCAAGGAGAGTTGAAAGCCTCCAACAAGCGAATGATAGTTTTTGCTTAAAGCATAAATTCTTCTCCTATAATAACAATGACTTGGATTGAACAAAATTCTTAGAAGAATCTTAAGCACATGAATAAAATTTGACTTTTATAAATAAATGATACACAATTTTGAACTTGCAAATCATGCAGGGATGAATGAACTCCCCAAAAGAATCACGAATGCTCGAGACATGGGAATTCTTCACAAACGAGCCAAACCCCTATAAAATATCAGCTTAGAATGATCACACTTGCCGAATCAAATAAGAACTAGCTCTGAGTTGACATAGACAAGAGGATTCAAATGATCGCATCACACCCCGTATTTTGATTCAACACTTTAGTTCATTGTCAAATATACTAAGGCTTGCTAGCCATCATTGCCCAACCTTACAAATTCACCCCTATTCTTTCGAGGGGGAACCCGGGATACGGAGGTCCTTTTTGGTGGAGAGGGTGTCTTCCTCTTCTTTAGAGACGACTCTCCTTGACAACCACTGTTTGTTTTTCACTTATTAGCAAACTTTGAAGAGCTTGATCAACGACTCCTCCACCCACAGGAGGCTCCTCCCTACTTTCTGGTCCTACTATCTTACCGGTCGGGAGGATAGAGCAAATGGGTTGAACATCTAGGGGGGCGACTGAAGTACCTTCTGCCCCTCCAGGTCGATCATATGCTTCCCTAGGTAGTTCTATTTTGTCATAACTAGAGAAGAAAACATCAACATAAGACAAAGAGTTAACTCGTTCTCCTCTTGATAGCTTCGTCTCTTAATGATAATCAACTCGTTAGTTTCCTTATTCTAAATGAGCATGATAGAAGGAGATGTCAATTAATGATATAAAG